CCCCAAAACCCCAAAACCCCAAAACCCCAAAACCCCAAAACCCCAAAACCCCACATACTCGAAGGGAGGTTGAAACACTACATAAAGAAAATATGCTCCATTAAGAATTAATTAGAACTTCATTTTATTTCCTTGGAATTCAGCAATGTTTCCTCTTCCAGCTGGTGGTTTTCCAAATCCACCTCTGCCACGGCCGCCTCTTCCACCGCGTCCGCGACCTCCTCTATCTCCGAAGCCACCTCTGCCTCTTCCACCGAAGCCTCCTCTGCCTCTGCCGCCGCCGAAGCCGCCTCTGCCTCCACCGAAGCCACCTCTGCCTCCACCGAAGCCACCTCTGCCACCACCGTAGCTACCTCTATCTCCTCCATTGTTGTTCCTTGGGGCGCTGAGATCAATTCTCAAGGCTCTGCCTTCTACTTGCTCTCCAGCAGCAGCCAAGGAAGCCTTGGCTTCTTCAGGAGTGGAGAACTCACAATGAGCGAACCCTCTTGGGTTACCTTCACGGTCATGAGCTACTCTCAAGTCAGTGATGCTACCATAGCTAGAAAAGAAATCCCAAAGTGTTTCTTTGGTAGTGTTGAACCCAACATTACCAATAAAGATACAGGTAGATCCTTCAGCATCTGGGTTTGACTGACGCTGTTGGTTCCTTTGGGGTTTATCTGCAGAGAAATTAACTCTCATTTGTCTTCCGTCAAGCTCAGCTTCGTTAGTTTGTTCAAGAGCATTTTTAGCAGACTCATGGGTAGTAAATTCAACAAATCCAATTCCTTGAGATCTTCCATCTCTCATAAGCACTCTGGCTTTGGTGATTTCTCCATATTGAGAGAAGGTCTCTTCCAAATAGCTATCATCAACATTCCAAGAGAGATTTCCAACAAAGAGTTCAGTTGGGCCCTGAGCTGAAGTGTCTTCTTTCTCTTCTTCTCCCTCCATCTCAGCATCTCCTTCCTTTTCAGGTTTATCTTCAGTAGCAGAGCTAGACTCAATGGCAGCTTCCTTCTTAGCTGCTGGAGCTTCCTCAGAAGAGTCTGAGGCAGAGTCGCTAGCTTCTTCCTTTGCATTGGTCTCCTTCTTTGGAGCTTCCTCCTCATCAGATGAGTCAGAGTCACTAGACTCCTTTACTGGAGCAGCCTTCTTGGCCTTCTTTGCTACCTTCTTTGGTGCTTTGACTTCTTCTTCAGATGAGTCAGAGTCGGAATCGCTAGACTCCTTCTTAGCTGGAACAGCTTTCTTAGAGGCCTTCTTTGAAGGTTGAGCAACAACATCTACATTTTCACTATCAGATTCATCACTGCTAAGGCTCTCCTCTACTTTAGTTTTCTTAGTAGTGGCTTTAACTGTGTCTGGCTTTCTCTTCTTTCCAGCAGCTGGAGCTTCATCACTGTCAGATGAGTCACTATCGCTTGATGAGGGCTGGGCTTTCTTGGCAACCTTCTTTGAGACAACTGGTGTTTTCTTGGTCTTCTTAGTCTTGACAGGTTCCTCAACAATGCTATCGCTATCGCTATCAGAAGACTCTTCAACCTCTTGGGCTTTAGCCTTGGCTTTAAGCTCTTTCTTTGAAAGCTTAGCTTCTTTCTTTGAATTCTTGGTCTTTGGCATTTTACTTTTATTTATTATAAATCAAACGCGCTCAACCTTTTATCTCGTTACTGGGGTTTTGGGGTTTTGGGGTTTTGGGGTTTTGGGGTTTTGGGG